TACACAAACAATGAATCATGGAACACTACATCAAAAACTAATGATGTACTGTATGGTGACTAACATAACATAATAAAATTAAATTAAATTAAAAAAAAAAAAAAAGAAGCCCAGGGATATTTCATGGCTGCCATAAAATAATCTTATAGCTGCAGGGCTGATATTGCTAAAGATCAAACCCATCCCTGAATTACACCTGTTATGGAATGACATTGGAAGTTGAGTTCACAGCCTCGGGGGATCTTTCATGTGAAAGAAATGGCAATGATTATGAAGGAGTGGGGTCAAAGACAGGGAGACCTCTGGGTGGGCTCAGACAAAGTTGAGAATCCCGAATTCCTGAGCTTCCTTGCCGGTAGAATCAGTCTGGAATCTGTGGAAAGGAGCCTTCCGTGTTTGAATGTCCTATAATAATCTCACCTGGAGCACTTGTCTTCCAAGGAGATGCAAGTGCTCAACAAAGCCCACACCAACCACCCTTGTTAGTACTGGCCCCATGACTTCAGCCAGATCAGCATGCTGTGGGCAGTGAGTACAAAGGCTGACGCAGCAGAAATAGCTTATTCACCCAAAGAATTGCAGGGGGTGCTCATTTATGCCAGTAGAGACCGAAGAGATACATGTGGGAATGAACCTAAGGGTGCTGGAGTAAGGAGGATGAGATATGATTGTGCATCTGGTGAATTTATTGACCTGGGAGCACTTCCCAGAAAGCCTGTACTTAACATGTTATTTTGTGCCGCTGAATGTGGTTCTGCCAGGTTTCTTGGTTGGTTGGCTAAGCATTGAACTCAGTGGTAGCCTATGTTTAATGAGACTGAGATGTGAGAATGTCCCTGGCATCAAGTAGAAAAAGGAAGCCAAAGACTTAGTGAGATGGGGCTGTAGACACCCACCACCCACTGACAGCACCCAGAGGACATTCCTTTCAATAAGGCATTGAGAAACATTGGCGAGGGAAGCACCAGCATCCTCGGATAGCTCTGTGGTCCCCCAGTCTCCTTCCACGATGGTGGGAGACACTGCACTGAGATGACATTCTTCATTCCAGGGGGAATAATGGAGTCCCGGATATTTGGGAAAGTGGGAGAAGTAAGACCAGAGCCAGAGGAACAGAAGAGTCTCATTCATGGTTTTTAAAGGCAAAAGAGAACTATACTTTTATATGTGTATATGACAAAGCTCCAGTGGTCTTCCCTTCTACGGACATGTGGCATAGAAGGTTTCTGATTTTACTCTACACCATGTCCTGCAGTTTGGGAGATTTTTACCTCCAGGATGAAGACAGGGATTGCATGGATTAACAAAAGAGAAAACTTTATTATGGACTACTTCAAACGCACTAAAGCAGAGAAATAGTATAATGTATCCTCATGTCCCCCAGCTTAAGCCAACTGATCGATAACCTTGTTTTGTCTATACCTCCAATCAACCCATTATGTTTTCCCTAGCTTTATTGAGAGATAATTGACAAATAAAAATGGTATATATTGAAGGTGCACAATGTGATGATTTGATACACATATACATTTGTGAAATATTTACTACTGTCAAGTTAACACATCCATCCCTTCGCATAGTTACCTTTTCTGTGTGTGTGGTGAGAACATTTCCGAGCTCCTCTCAAAGCAATTTGCAAGTATACAATACTGCATTAATAACCATTGTCAGCACTCAGCCCATTGTTTTAAAGCAAAACAGTTGTCATATAATTTAATCTCTAAATAATTGCCTTGGGTCTGTTTATAAAAAAAATATATAGAACCACAATCAAATTAATACACCTGGAAAAATGAACAATTATTCCTTTATATCATCAAGTAGAATGGATGGTTATTTTTTTAAAGTGAATAATGCCAGTATTCCTTTCTGAAACCTGGAAACGTGCACCTCTTATTAGAAAATACAGTCGCAACCAATTTACTAGCTAGCTTAGGACTTCGTCTGGATAACCTCCAGGAACCCTTAACTTGGCTTCCTCCCCTGGGGAAGCATTTCATTTTTTCCTTGGAAGAGGTCTAAAACTTAACCCTGTGTACCCCGGGTGGGACTCGAACCCACAATCCCTGGCTTAGGAGGCCAATGCCTTATCCATTAGGCCACCGGGGCCGACAATGGATGTCTTGCAATGGTCCTAGACCAGTCTCTCCATCACCTCCCCGTGGTTCCTGCCGGTTACACACGGATTCCTGGCTCCATCCCGGCCTCCTCCCGGCCTGTCAACACCCGACCTGGCCGGCAGCTGGAGTATCCTCCGACCCCGGAGAGAGAGTGCACGCGCAGATGGAGCCCGAAGAACTGGGTGGCGCTCAGTTCGTAGGACTTGGGTGTGATCCTCGCTTAGGGTGCGAGAAGCCTGGCAATCAAATCCTGGGCGAGCTCTTTCCTTCTTGTAGGAGAATCCGGGTCTGGCGATAACTGCTAGCAAGGAGTTGGCTATGCAAAATGTGGGAGAGAAGAGAAGAGGGGTACCAGCCCGGCGATTGGGAAAAGTGCCATCCCTGTCCTTGTCCTCCTCCCTACACTGCCCCGTAGACAGGAGGTGTTACCTGGGTCCAGGGCTCTGCGGTTTTTAACAGACCAGTGGCCTGAGGTCTTTGTCCTAAGCGCCTTCCGCAATACCTCGGGCTGGCTGTGTCGGTGGAATATGAGATTCTCACCGTCAGACAACCCATCCATAGCTTTCCCACCAGAGGATGGGTGTTCTTTCCATCTCCAAAATGTTCAACTTAACGAATTTCAAACCGCTGAAGCATCACAAAAACGATAAACACCCCATAGGACCCCAGGTCACCTGCGCCCCCCTTCCCCAATGAGGGCTCCGGCTGCCACCGCCCTGGCGGTCACCGGGTGGGAGGAGGTTACATCACTTAGGTCACCTGGCTTAGCCACAATCCCCTGGAGAGAACTCGGTTCCGCAGGTAAAGACATTTTTTTCCCAGGTAAAATGATGACCCAGTCCTGGGCATATTCTTTATATTTAAACTTTTAGATATACATTCACACAAGTCATTTAGGTATGCTATCATTGCAAGAAATCAAAATATTCGATTTTTTAAACATTTTATTACGGTAAAAAATATTTATATATAACGTTAAATTGGCCAATTAAGCCGTTTTTAGGTGTACGATTCAGTGGCATCAGTTACATGCACAATATTATCCAACCGTCACCACTATTTCCGATTTTTTTTATCACAATAATCCATGACATTTTGAAATGCACCTGTGCTCCGACCCCCTTGGGACAACTCCCCGCCCCCCTGCAACAATCCAACCCCTCCCCTCGTTTGTAGTTGGCAGCTCTGGTCAACTGAACTATATTGGCCTCGTCTGAGGCTCCTGGACTCGCTGCGGGTGGTTTCGGGTTCTGGCCTGCGTTGGGCCCCGCAGCGCCCTCGGGGTCGCGGGGGCTGCAGACCAGGCCCTGGCTCCCGAGCTCCGCGCCGGCAGGGGCCGGGCGGGTTCTCGGGTGCCTCAGGGCGGGGCTGCGCGCGGGGGGCACCGCCCAAGCCTCCAAAGGTTCCACGAAGGGCGCAGTCCCGACAGAGGGAAAATTTAAAGTCGAGGGAGGAAAACAAACGCTGCAGCGACCACGAAGGGACTCGAACCCTCAATCTTCTGATCCGGAATCAGACGCCTTATCCATTAGGCCACGCGGCCCCACCACCGACGATCCCACAGCTTCTCTTATAAAGCTGGTCCAGGCGCCTGCGTGGTGCGCCGGAATGCGCATGCTCCTACCGGCGAGGAGCTCCTCCCCCTCGGGCCCTGTGTGGGTGGGGCTGCGAGCTGGGTCCCCGCGCGGAAATGAGCCCCGGCGGCTCGGCGACGACAGCCCTAACGAACTGTACCCCAAGTTCGAGCCCCGGTGAGGCCGCGCAGGCTCCTACCCTGACTGGCGGCTTGGGAGCTCTTCCCCCACGTGACCCCAGAGCGCGTTGGGTGAGGGGCTGCCCACTGCTCCCGCAGCCCGCGTGCTTTTCGCATCACAGCACCGATGAGCCTGCAGGGCTCTGTCCAGTCTTGTGCTCCCAGACTGGACTCTGACCGGCGTGAAGGCGAGACCGCATCTCCTGCACTCCCACGGCCCCAGCCCCGGGCGCCGGCGGGGTGCGCGAGCTGAGACATTGATGTGGGCCCTGGCTGCCCCCTCTTGGAACATCGAGCCCAGCCTAAGGCCGCGCAGGGTTCCTCGGTCCCTCCGCCCGCGGGAAGGCCCAGCCTCCGGCTCCCGGAAGCACAAATGCACCCTTGCGGAGTGTGCCAGGCACTTGGCCAGCGCTCTCTCACTCTGTCACCTCCCTGAGGGCAGGCACTGTTCACGGGCACAGCGATCGTTGCACGCCCCCCGAGCCCCGCGCCCGCGCTGCTGCGGCCATTTACAGAAGAGAAACCGGGAGAGGGGATGGAGTCGGCGGCGGCGCTGGGCCGTGGCACCCGCGGTCGGCACTCGCGGTCTGCACCCCGGGGCGGCAGCGGGCGCAATCAGGCCTGCAGGCAGAGCCGGCGCCTCAGCGAGCTGCGGATCTCCAGGCAGGCCTTGCGGCGCTCCTGGCAGTCGGGACCCAGCACCTCCAGTTCACACACCCGTCGGTTGACCTGCGAGGACCACACTCAGCCTGCGCCCAGGACTCCCGGGTCCCTCGGCACCCAGCCTGGCGCCCCGTGGATGGGAAGCCCTAAAATTTCAAGTGCTGCCTTGCCATCGTGGGCCTTCACGGGGCCTCAGGGGCCTAACCGTGAGCCCCCTGCCCCTGTCAGATGTGCGCCCCACACGGCAGGAAAGGCTCCCCACGCAGCTGGTTCCCCCACCCTCAGCTTGTCCTCAGTCTGAGGGGCTTCAATTCCCTGCCAGCCTGGAAAATTATTCAAACAAGCCAATCACATCCTCCTGCAGGGACCAGGGGCACCCCACCCACTCTTACTCTGAAGCCTGAGGCCCACGGCCCCTGCTGGTTCACTCTGTTCCCGACTGCAACCCCCAGGGGCCCTGTGCGGTGGGCGGTGGCCTCCACGCGGCAGTGAGTATACCCGGCTAGTAACTTCTGTGGCTCTCACTGGCCAGCCCCAGGCGCCCTGTGTCTGGGAGGCGATCAGAACAGCAGGGTTGGGGAGAAGGATGAATCCTGCCCCTCTCCCCACGTCTCTGCCCCTAACCCCAACACACCTCAGTCAGCAGCTCCAGGAGCTCTCCCCTGGGGTCAGCTCTGAGGACCTCCACCAGAGTCTGGATAAAGTCCGAGCCCTTCTCATCATCCCGATAGGCTACACAGCCTAGGCCAGAGGACCAGGGTCAGAGTGTCAGACTTGCCCCCCCGCCCCCCCGCCTTCCAACCCCCAGGGGCTCTTTGTTGGTAGAAATGGGCCTACAAACAGACAAGACCCCAGGGGTCAAGCAAGGGAATGGTGCAAAGAGCAGGAACTTCTGGCTTCTGGAACAACTTGTTGCTTGATATTTGTGGGGTGAATATATAATTTGACCGAATATGGAACACACATTCACTGCGAACCTACCCTGTGCTGGCCGGGCCCTGAGCAGGGGCCTGAGGCATATCCCTCACGGAATTTACAGCGCTCAGCACAGTCAGCCCTCATTGTGAGCTCACCGTCATTACTATTATTATAAATCATAAATATGGAAGGAAGATGGCTTAACTGCAACTGAGCTGGTGCCCCTGTGCCCCACATGCCCAGCCCTGGCCCCCCTAAAGCCACTCCAGGCCCTTGGCATGCATGTCCAGCCAGGATACCCTGTGTAGCAGGCTTTCCTGATGACCCGTCGCCTTACCCTCGGCAGCTGCATAGACCATCAGGATGTCCGCTTGGTCAGAGCTCCCCAGAGTGGGGGCCCCCGGAGGAGCTGCCTGCAAGAAGGATCAACTGCATTTACCCAGCATCCTGCGACTCTACCAGCCCCAGGGGTCCCCCCAAGTCTGACTCAAGGGCACACAGGGCAGTTAGTGGAAGGAGCCCAGGGCAGAAAAGGCAAATCAAAACTCAGCTCTCAACAACAACAAAAAAACTCAAATCTCAGCTCTGCCACCTACCAGCTCGGTGAACCTAGAAAAGCTATCTCACCTTCCTGCCTCCAGGGTTGTTTTGAGGCTCAAGTAGCGGCAGAAGCCCAAGGCCCTTGCAGTTTAGGAAGGTTTTCCTTCCCATCCTCTTGGCAAAGAGGATGCAGGTAGCAGCAGGACCCAGGTCAGAGCCCTGGAAAGGCACGGCGGACAGCCCTCCCACCAGTCCTGCCCAAGCCCAGGCTCCAGAAGGAAGGCACACCCACCCTGGGCTTCAGCATAGATCTGGAGAACATCAGCATGCGAGGGGGTGGTTGGTGATGCCCGCAGCCAGCGCGCCGGAACCAGGGGAGAGCTCTGGGCCCCACACTGGCATCCCTCTTCCCTGGAGGTGGGGGGAGATACGCAGATCCTTTTGCTCAGCAGATACCTAGGGGTGCCCCCAGGGGTCCACAGCCCAGCCCCCAGAATGCCAGGGCAGGCCTGCCAGGCTGGAAGCACTCAGAGCACGGAACGGCATGTGCTGAGGGTGAAGTGCTCAAGTTGGTGGACCTAACTTCTAGGAGAGGCTAGAAGATGGCACAGGCGAAGTGCCAGTGCTGAGGCCCTCCTGGAGAAGGTGGACAGCAAGTCCTGGGAGGCTGAGGGCTGCGTGTGCAAAGCTAGAGCAGGAGGAGGCAGGTGGGAGGCCAAGACCTGGCCTGGCCTTCGGGGGGCGGGCCCCACTCACCTCCACTGCAAGCCTGAAGCAGGAAGATCTTGGGGCAGCCCTACAGGGCCCTGCGGTGGCTCAGCTCCTGCACCAGCACCTCTGGCTGGACCTCATGCCCGTCTGCCCCCAGCAGCTGCCCCTGTGGCCCCCCAGGGGCCATGAGGGCCACAAGCGCACAGCTCACGGGGACCCCATGGGTGTCTAGGCACTCTCGGAACTGGGCCATCTCCTCCTGGAAAGCCTGGGGTGGGGACGAGATTGAGGCCTGGGCCCGGGCCTTGGCCTCCCCAGTGCCTGGTGGTCCTCCACGGAGGCTTTTCCAGGCCCTGCCCATCCTCCTTCCCACCTCCTGCCAGCCTCAGGCCCACAGAGGAAGTCCTTTTTCTAACCCCCCTACCGCAAAGCTGGCATGGCCTAACTGGAGGTGACGTGTGGTCCAGCCTCTTGCAGCTGGGACTTTGGCCAGGGCAGGGAAAATGCTCCAAAAAGTGAAGAGGCGTGATGGGAGGGCAATGAGCTGGCAGGTGTCTGGGAAGGGAGCTGAGACCCTCCCAGGAAAAGCTGGAGGGTCCAGCTGGGGCCTGGAGCAGAGGAGTGGAGAAACAGCGGGGAGGAGGCTGCAGGAGTCCGGGAGGTGAGCTCCACATGCATGCAGCAGAAAGGACGGAAGCCAGACGGGGTGAGAAGCCCCGGAGAGTCACTCAGGTCCTGGGGGGGGTGGGTGGCCTTCCCTCAGAGCACCACCAGAACTCTGGCCTTCACCTCACCTGGGCCGTAGGGTCTGTCCTTAGGGTGGTCTTGAAGCTCAGGGCCTGGCACAGGCCCCCCAGCACCTCCACATCATGCTGGACCCCAGGCCGGCCTTCGATCACAGACAGGAGGAGAGCGGCTCTGGTCCTGGACAGGTCATACTGAGCACTGGGGCTGGGTTCCGGCTACAGACAAGTTAAGGAGCATTCAGAGTGGCCTGAGAACCTTCCAGCTCCTCACGTTCCCCCATCTCAGGTCTCCCTGAGCCTCTGCCCCCTCGCAACTGCTGTCACCCCACCCCGTTCCCCTCACCTGGTGCTCCCAGGGTTCCACATCCCCCAGGCACAGTGCACCCCACAAGGAGCTCCGGAGGACTGGGCAGCAGGTGGCCTCTGACTCTTTGGCTGTCCTGTAGAAGACCTGGGGGGGTGGAACCAAAGAACCCCAAGGGGGCTGCTCCATAGGGGTGCAGTTTGGGGAGGGAACAGGACACTGGCTTCAGGGAACAGCCTGGCTAGCTCATGGCTACTGCAATCTCTTTGGGGTCCCCTGCCAGAATGGAGGGAACAGAAGACAGACAAAAGAAGGGGAGGGCACGAAGGAGGTGTCCTAATTCAGGTTCAGTGTCATGGGCTTCCCTGGACATGGATGTCCTTAAGTGGATAGTGGCCATGCCATTAACCACACCACTCCCCACTCCAGGGATCCATGTGCACAGAGCTGGGGTGCTCCCTAGAGCAGGTTGGGGACTGTCTGGGAAGGTTCACAGGGTAGGTACCACCTGTGGAGGGCACCAGGCTGGGGAAAGCTGTGGAGTGGAGCCGGGGCCCACCCTTCACCTCCAGGGTCACCAGTGGCCACCCAACTGCCCAGTGAGACCTTTGGGCCTCGAGCCCAGACCAGAACTGGATGGTTCGTCACTCTGGTTTCCAGGGACCTGCAGTCTGACGGGACAGTCACCGTCTGTGTGAGTGTGAATGGGGCTGGGCAGAAGTATAGGCGCTGACTTGGGGAGCTCAAGGAAGGGCATCACTGACAGCCTGGAAGGGAATGTGTGAGGCTGGCTGGGACAACAGGAGGGCAAGCCAGAGGGAGTGGCATGGGCAAAGGCGTGGAGCTGAGAAGCAGCTGGGAGTGTCTGGGGGATCTTGAGCGGGTTGTGAGGAGGGGCACGGGTGGCGTGGGAGGCAAGGGCTCGAGGCTGATACCTCATGCACAGACAATAAAGAGTCATCTGTACAATGAATGGGGGTGGGGGCATGTGAGTGACTTGAACTGTCAAGCAGGTTCAGGAGAGCACAGCAGAGCCAGGGGAAGTGAGTGGCACAGCCCCCCTCCCAGGGACCCCTCCCATCTGGAGCCCCCACCTCCATCAGCAGCTGCAGCAGAGACCAGTGAGGATATTGGCCACAGAGCTGGCTCAGACCAGTGAGGAAGGCTCCGGGCTCAGGGGCAGCTAGGTGGAGAAACCGCACGTTGGCCTGGAGGGGAGGTCTTGGCCCTCCTGTCCACCCCCACCCCTGCTTTGCGACATCCCACAACCGGTGTCCCTGCCCAGCCCACTCACCGAGCACTGAGAGCAGCAGGAAAACTTTGGGGCAGGCCCACAGGGCCCTACAGCGGCTAAGCTCCCGGACCAGCTGCTGGGGCTGACTCAGCTGCCCACTGGGGGCCCCCAAGGGCATCCAGCTGCTCCCGGAACCCAGCCAGCTCCCCAAGGAAGCCCTAGGGCAAGAGCAAAAGCCGGGCCTGAGTCCAGGGAGGCCCCAGGGTGGGGCTAGGTGTGCGTGCTGGGATGAGGGTGAGGGTGGGAGGCAGGTGAGGACTCACCTGGACAGAGGCCTCCCTCCTCTGGCAGCTCTCAAAGCCCAGGGTCCGGAACACGCCCTCTAGGACAGTGACTTTAGAGGCTGACATGTCAGGGCTCCTGAGTGTCAGGGCCACCCTTGGACCCTGCAAGCCATACTTCCCCTGGGGAGGCAAGGCCAGAGTCAGGCTGGGGTGGGGCTCAGCTGAGAGCCAGGAATGGGCTGGACCAGGCAGCACCTCCCCCTACCTTTGTTTCCAGACTCTGTTGAGCATCCCCCATCTGCAAGACCACCTGCAGGGTCCCAGCCACCAGGAAGGCCATGGGGGCCAGGTGGGGTCTTCCTCTGAGCACCGAGCTTACCCCTGGCCCTGGTGCTGATGCCCCAGGTCCCAATACTTGCCCTTTCCCTGAGCCCTGTCCTATCAGCTCTGTTTATGAGCTGAGCTGGACTCTGCTCCTTCCCTGGAACCCTGGGTCTTGGGCCCCGACTGCTTCAGTCCCTGTCCTGTTCTCTGGCTCCAGCGGGCTACTTCCTGGCTGGCATTGGCATGCCCCCACCTGAGCCAGGAGTCTATGCCCAATCCTCTTCTTAGCTCTTGGCCCACCTCCTATCTGATCTCGTTACACAGGAGTGTCTCCCTTCTGAGCCAGCCACCAGCACCAAAAAAATCCATGCAGGGCTCTCACCACCCCTACTCACTCCTGCACAGCACCCACACCACCCACACATGTGCACACTGCAGCCTTGAGCACAAGGGTACGAGGAGTGGTGACGGGTGCTGTCTCACAGACAGAAACCCCAACTGGAGTCATCTGTCCACAATGGGGCCCCAGTTGCTTCATCCAGGAAATGGGGTCCATCATAGCGAGCTCAGGACGAAGCAAGTGTTAAATGGGGGGCTGGCTGAGGAAGGGCCCTGGGGCCAGAGAGACTGGCGCACAGACTAAGGGACAGAACGTTCTGTCGCCACCTGCCCCCACCACCCTTTAGGCAGTCCAGTGAGGCTACTACCAGGCAAACTGAGAAGGGCTCCGTGGGGATGTAAGGACCTCTGACCATGCACCCACCAGCTCTGTGCAGGCTCCAGTCGGAGGCTTTGGCAGGCGAGGGGTGAGATGTCAAGGGCTGGGTGGGGAATGGGCAGGGTCCATTCTGACCCAGGAGTCCACTCCCGCTAAGGGATCTGAGCAGAGGGACCAGCTTAGAGTTCTGGATCTCCTTGAGCAGCAAGAGCACACCGTGCCCCCCACCAGTCACCCCACACCCAAGCCTGTTTCTTCAGGTCACCACTGAGGAGAAAAGGAGTGGCCTGGCAATGACCTGCTCAGCTCCCGCGTTGTCCTGCCGGGGTGGCGAGGGGTGCCTCCAGCTGTCCCATCCTGAGCTGCCCCTGGTCCACAGCTCACACTGGTTGACACAGGCCAATGAGAGTCCTGAGACTCACTGCTGTTCTTTGCAGCCCAGCCAACCTGGAAGCCAAGAATGTGGCTCCACCTGGTGACGACCCAGCACCAGTGCCCCGGGCAGCACCAAACCAGGAGGCGGAGAGACATGAATTCCAGTACCCCCACCCAGCAACCACATTAAGAACAGAACAGCCTAGAGGAAGCTTCCGTTATTTATTCAACATCTTCTGCTGCCCTTTTGAGACCAGCAGAGCTGAGCTCCTTTGGAGAGCCTGTGGTCTGTCCCTGCAAATGCCCACCTGCAGACAATGCGGACGGCACCATGGAATGCAGTGCTTAGGGAGTCAGCGACAAAGCGCTAACAGAGTGCTAGTGTTAAGTATCACAAACCCCACACCTCTGGAGAGGGGAGCAGCGGGGAGCAGCCAGCCTCCACCAGCCCTGTCCTTGGTCTTCAGTGTGGGCTTCCTGTCCCTGGAGCCGCCACCACCCACACCAGATTGGCAGGGGTCGCTCTCAGGGACTTGCTTGGGGGCAAGTCAGCTTCGAGCAGAGGCAGGCAGTTTCCATGTCTCCAGGCGGGGCAAAGTGGTCACGGCCTGGAAATGGGGAGGGATGGGGCTGGAAAGCCCGTGGCCACACCCAGGACCCAGATCCTCCCAGGGATGGGCTGTCCCTCCCAGAACCCAGAAGCATCCTGCAGGTCAAGGCCTGTCCTCCACACCCACCAGAAGGCACAGCTTGGCAGGGCAGAGGGCCCGGCCCACGGACTCAGCTGACATGGCCGGCAACAAAGAGCCATGGGGCAAGCAAGGCCGGGGGGTGGGGGACCCCAGGCCCTGCCAGAGTCCTCACACTTCCCTGACGCCCAGGCCTTTCTCCCACGCTGAGGCCACGGGCCAGGAATGTGCTGGGGCACCAGGAAGCCAAAGGACAAGAGAAACCCGGGAAGCAAGAAGGGGAATGGCCGCGAGGTGGTGGGGACTTTCCATTCCCTGGGAGTGTAGGCTAGGCCTAGGGGCGAGGCGGGGCAGGCAGCCAGGATGGAGGCCGCAGATGGGGAGAGAGAACACCGGGGGGCCTGTGGCTGCTTCGCCCTGGGGACACCATCCCCCCCAGCCCCCACTCCGGGTCGGCCGCAGGGCCCTCGCCAGCCCTCAGCCCACAGGCTGGGCCATCTTGGCGTGCAGGCTCTGGTGGGCGATGAGGTGGGCGCGCTGCTTGAAGCTCTTGTCGCACTCGCCGCAGCCGAAGGGCCGCTCGCCTGTGTGCACGCGCCGGTGGTCCAGCAGGTAGGAGCGCAGCGAGAAGCTCTTGCCGCACTCGCTGCAGCCGAAGGGCTTCTCGCCCGTGTGGATGCGCTGGTGGTCGGCCAGGTAGGCGCTGCGGCTGAAGCTCTTGCCGCACTGGGAGCAGGAGAAGGGCTTCTGGCCCGTGTGCACGCCCTGGTGGCGCAGCAGGTCCGACGAGCTGCGGAAGCTCTTCTCGCACGCCTGGCACTTGTGCGGCTTCTCGCCCGTGTGCGTGCGCTGGTGGCGCGCCAGGTCCGAGCCCCAGCGGAAGCGCTTGCCGCACTGGCCGCAGCTGTGCGGCTTCTCGGCTGCCAGGTCTCGCAGCGGCCGCCGGCGCGCGGG